ATTTAAACATTTTTCCTCTTTTTCTCTTTTCTTAAAAGGTTGGAAAAATGCTACATATTTTGTAAAATATTTTTGCGTATTTTCCCCCATAGCATCCCCTAAATTTTGTTTTAACCGTTTCCACGATCCGCATGTTTTTGCGCCCCCGCCCCCCCCCCCCCCACCCCACAGTTCAGTGAATGCCTATCCTTGTACAATGATTCGCATAAATTCTCAAAAATAATAATAATCCGGATAATGATAATTTGAAGAAATAGCACAAAAGTTCGATTTGCAGGACATGTTTCTGCAAACTTATGCCATCTTCAGTTGCAGAAGCTCATTACAATTTGAATATCTACAGTTGTAGAAGTAGTTACAATTTGAACCTGAAGATGGCACAAGTTTGCCGAAACATGTTTTGTAAATTGAAACCTGTTGACGTCTTTTTACCATAATATATATTATTGCCAAAGATTAATTATTCAAATAGCGTTTGTAGATTGCTTGCTGAGAAGAAGTATCCTCTTGTGGTTCTCTTTTCATGTCTTTTCTTGCCTTTTTCGTTGCCGCTTACTTTAAATCTTTGCACGCGATGCGTGCTTAGGCTTGCATACGAGGCATTTCCCGTCATGCTTCTTGAGATCTGTTCAGTTCAAGATGGCGGACGGTAAGTGAAATTTCTTCTGCACATTTATCGCATTTTTTACCCCCGTATGTGGTTTCTTCTTTTACTCAAGTTATAAGTAGAAAATAGAAACTTTATTTAGATCTTCTGTGTAAGCTTTGTAGGGTTTTCGTTGCCGGTGGGGCTAATTTTCTTGACGAAAACTCAAACATGTCTCGTATGTGTCAGCACTCTCTGAGAGCTTCTGAGCCTAAAACATGTACATTTCTCAAATTTATAGTTTATTTTAAACAGTAAATGAAGGAAACGAACATAAAATTTAAATTTAGTTTCTTCTTGATCAATTAAGTTATTGAGAAATCGAAGAAAGAAGATCCAAGCGCAAATGCCAAAGCAGAATCCAAACCAGATCGGCCGAGCAATCTGTGTTGTTACTCGCAGCGTATCTGCAACGTGGAGAAGTTGAAAGGCTTTGATTTTTGCCACAAGCACATCTTAGAAGACAAGGCTAGTCCTTTCAAACCTTGTGACTTTGTGGCCAAATCAAATGGCAGAAGATGCCCTAATCCTGCTCCAAAGTTGCCAGCCAGAGGGAAAAGGTATTGACCCTAACCTACAGTGTAATAACAGGGCCATTTATACGAGGAAAAATAAGACGCGTCTTATATAGGATGCGTCTTAAATAAGATGCAAACTTTCTATATAAACGGCACATTTCGTCTAAAATAAGACGCGGCTTAGCTAAGACGTGTCTTATTTTAGAACAGCCCTTAAACACCTGTTCTTAGATAAGACGTGTCTTAGCTAAGACAAGGAAAACTTCATATAAATGACCTTCGCGTCTTATATAAGACGCGAACGCATAGTAGGCATGGGTTAATTTTTTGTGCGCCACGTTGGATTGCCATTGCTACAGGCAACATTCACATTAAAGCGAGTCATGAACAGAAATAAGACGCGAACCATTTACAGAGTTTGAGCTAGGATTTGATCACTGGGGGACAATTTGTCCCCTTGGCTAAAATTTTGGGGGACATTTTCCTTTTTAGGGGGACAGAAATTTGTACACCCTTCCTTCTTAGCAGGGCTTCTGATAGGTCTCGGACGAAAAAGTCAAATTTCGCGGGATTTTTAGGGACAAATTCGCGGAAAAATCGGCCGATTTCGCGGGAGTTTTCGGGGCAAACTTCATCGAAAAACAATCGGTAAAAAACGGCCAATTTTGTGGTTATTTTCAAGGCAGATTTCGCTAGAAATCGATCGGTTTTGCGCTGATCAGACCAGCCTTTTTAACGTTTTTCTAACAGAGGTCATCATTTGCTCTTTCAACAACAATACGCTCCAGAAATGAACCAATGGCAAAGCCTTTAACATGATGGCTAGTGCCCAGTTTTTCGCAACCTAATCTGTTTGCACGTTTCAGTGACGAAGTTCCAAGATAAATTTGCAAGTTTACGGCAAGTTAATATCCCCTATAGCTGAAATAAGTTTCAAATATGTTGTACAGACATATATTTGATAAGATTTCTACCAAATTTCGTGGTATTTTTCGTGTTTTTGTGAATTTCGCGGCTCCGCGACCGTGCGAAAAATCAGAAGCCCTGTCTTAGATTTCCGACAAAAATAGCAGTAGAGCGTGACTGAAACGTAACTTTGGAATGAACTTTAAAGGTGCAATAAAATATACTTTCCACGTTCTGTTTCAGCTTGCAACTTCTGTACCGAAATAAATCTCTTCGTGTGTGCTTCCTTTCGAGTTTTTTCCCTAAATTTTGAAGGGGACAAATTGTCCCCTTGGCCGTTTTTTAAAGGGACAATTCCAATTGCAGTGCGGGATTGGCGCAAAGGCGCGGCCTGGCTCAAACCCTGCATTTATATGAGCTGTTCTCATCTTAGGTAAGACATGCTCGTATAAATGGTACAGTTCACATCTTATTTAAGATGCGTCTTATGTAACACACATCTTATTTTTCCTCGTATAAATGGCCCTCATAAGTTTAGTGATAAGGGTTAGGAAACTGACTGAATCAAGTTTCAAGTCAGTTTTCATTCAGTTTCCCTAATCACTAAACTTGAGAGTCATGATCTGTTTGCATGGGGTTTCAGTATTCCAGGTTTTAGGCAAACCCTTCTGGATCCTAAAATAAGTGTATTAAAGTCCCCAAAAACTAAGGCCCATTTTCTCTCAACCAGTGGGGTATTAGTTTTTGTAGTCCTGGCCTGGAAATGTTGAAATTTAGAAACAGAATAGACGTGTATAAAAATCATCATGCAGTGTCGAAGATTTGCTAGGAGTATAATCGGGTTGGGTCATTTTATATTTTTCTACTGGTTTATTAGATTGTTAGACAAGCAATTCTTGTCCCTTCAGGTTTTATTTACTGTGACCATGTCATTACTGGGATTTTTATTTGGGGAGCTTCAGGACCCCTTTTCCTGAAAAATAGGGGTCCTGGATTAAAGTGAGGGGGATGAAGATATCCACATAATTATGTGAATAAAAAGTTACGGAACAAAGAACAAGAGCCCTACTCCAAAATAGTTGGTGTTTAGTTCCCCATGTATGACCGTATCAAAGTTGTTTTGTTTTTCAAGCTGGTGGTGACTACTGGCAGTAAAAGTCTATAAACTGCTTTATGTGTATGCACTGCTGTCAGTCATTTCAACACGTTCTGGGTACAGAGCTGGAGTGTTTCTTTGTCTGTTACTACATAACCTTACATCAGACATTGTTTTTTTAGAAGAGAGGAAAAAATGATCGCCTGATATATTTTTGTCATGATCCACCAACTGTCCCTGCTTTAAATAAAATAAATAATAATTTCATTAGGTCAACCTGTCATCAAGGCACGAAAGACGTCCTATAAAATGTTTTTGTACTCAGGGAGATCAAAGCAATGGCCATGTTTTATTTTCAAATTTTGAGCAAAAGTAATAACAACTTGTCTGCTTTTTTAATTACAGTTTTTGCATCATTCACACTCGAAAGGCTGAGCTGCGTCGAGCAGTAGAGGAAAGGAGAAAGAGAAGGCACCATGAGGGTGATGGTGAAGAGAGTTATGATGGTGATAGAGAAAAACGAAGAAGAACATCGAGTTCAAATTCCCAGAAAAGTGATAAACTAGATAATCATTCTTCAGGTACAGTGTACATTTTTTGTTATTGAAGTACAGTCAGGTGGAAAGCCAAGATTTGCATTAAGTTTGTAATCCATCTTAAATAGGGTTCACTCAACATGTTGTACAGGCCATGTTAGGGTAAAATTCCGACAAGCGACATAGCCTTGAAACAGTGACATAGGACAACAGAAATGCCGACAAACGACACAAAGATGGGTTGAAACTGTGACACCGACAGAGAAAAATGCAAATACAATAGTAAAATACATATACTGGCAGTGACACGGCTTCCTCCTCAGCATTGCAAAATGACAGGTTTTGAAAACGGTTTTTTCCTAGGCATGCTTCATGCCAAGGAAACTGGGATAAGCTCTGGCTGTTTAGGCCTTTGGCTTGTGTGCTCCTTCTAAGCTTTACCTACTTTTTTGCCTTTTTAGATGACGAGGGTGGTGCTAGTGGCGATGATTACCTGAAAGTAGATAGTGCTTGGCATGGTGATATAGACAGTGATGCTGAATCTGTGGACAGTGAAGAAGAAGACCCTCTCAAGTAAGCTTTCGACATTTAGACTTAAACTGTTTGGGAGGAACATGGAAGAGTTTGATAATGAATTTTGGGCATGTAGTTTACCAGTGTATTTTAGGTGGCCACTTTTAATGATGTATTTTGTGTTTTGTTCACTTGTGTTCCGTAGTTTGGTTTAAAAGATGCCTAAAAGCATCTTGTCATAACTATTAAGATGGATAACTGACATTTTTTGAAATGGTTGTACAGATGGCCAATAGCAGATTATATGCTTTTGTGTGTTACATGTAGCTCATCCCAGGTCAATCATTAAAATGCAGCTTAGCATTATTATTTATTATTGTTTATGCTATAAAAATGATGTCAATATCAACTGTTGCAAACCAGTTAGCAAGATGTAACATCCTTCTCCTAGGCATGCAGGTGTCTGGACAGTTGAGGAAGCAACAAGAATGTGCCGTGACAAGATGATCAGACTAAGATCTTTGTACATAGCTCAGTTCAAGAGGCTACAACATGTGTTAAAAGAGAGAAAAAGAAAATACTATCAGGCAATTCATGCTGAAGAAGAGGAGGAAACAGGTATGAAGTACATGTACTGGTATTACTACTTTTATTATTCATTCAAATATTTCTCAGTTTCTGATTGGCTAAAATGCCATGCATAATTCATCAGAACCAGCTACTGTTGACCAAATCTGGAAGAATTTTGCCATATGTGAAAAATGGCATCAGTTTTGCAGCAAAATTGCCAGATTATTAAAGAGTTAACCGAGAAGGCTGGGTTTTAGGTTGAGTTGCTTTGGTACTGAGTACAAAATGGTGGAACATTTCACCTGTTTGAAGAGGAAGAAATAGGCAAACTATTGGCTAAAAACATAGCAGGAACAGCAAGAAGATTATCAACTTGATGGATGACATCTGCTATTCGGAGAATATTTGCAGTACTGAACAACCCTTTATCTCCTAAACTTGCCGATGTACAGGCAATTGAAGGTGAACTTAACATTGATGAAGGTAGGCATGTTTTAGCTTGCTTTTAAACTAGGAAATTATTTTTAATGAATAATGAAACAATTATTGAATTTGGCTTTCATATCATCTGAAGAATTGTGGAGATCTTGGAGGGTGTTATCCATGGTGATTATAACACTCTCCTCGATCTCCATAATTCTTCAGATGATTCTCAGCCTTATCTGATAATATTATTATTAAATACAGGGGAATGTAAATAATTATGGTCACCAAAGGGCCAAAGAAATTTGGCTGTATTAACAGGTGACTATATTAAAGGAGCTGTGTCACGAAATTCAGCCAAATTAGGAAATTACAAAATGCCTGTTAAATTAAGAGGAACATAAAAATAACCTCTTAAAACTTTAAAGGAAGGTTAAAACAACAGATGTCATGGATGGGCAAAACTGAAGAAGATTGAAACGGATTGAAATTAGGATTTTTGAAAACTGTTCAGCCTCATGGTTTTTCAAAGTTGATCCCTGCTGCCTGCAACTTCAAAAATAATGCTCAGGAGACATATTTGTTTGTATCGGGTCTCTGATTTTGTCATTTACATGTAATTTCTTTGCTTACTTTAAGTTCCATAGCGATTGAGGGTGAGTAATTGGCAAAATTAAACAAAATGAACTGAACTGCCGTGACACAGCCCCTTTGATGAGGGATTTTTACAGGAAAATGTATGCTCGTTTTGCCGGGCATCCAAAAAAAGTGGCCATAATAATGAGGTCATTGTATTACCGAGGTGGCCATAAGGCAGGGTTTCACTGTATCACAACAACCTCATCCAGTAATATTGTTTATTATTTGTGTCCATAGGAGAGTGTAATCTGACACCCACACAACTTCTAGGTCACAAGCCCCTACATGAGCGTCCTGGCACTGAAACTTTGCTGCGAAAGCAGGCAAAAGAAAAGAAACAAGGAACAAACGCTCGGCAGCAGGCTGTCTCAACTTTGCGCTGTACCTACTCTCCTGGGGGAAATAGATGCACTGAAAAGGTCTTGCCCCTTACAAAACACTGCATTAAACGTATCCTTTTTATCCTATACTGACTAAAGAGCGAAGTTTTCCAAGGCCGTGCTGAAAAAGGGGAGCAAGTCATTGTTTATAGTTTGAACTGGACCAAAAAAAGTTGGTCATGCTTGTTTATTATTTACAAGCTTTGCCAAAGGGCCTGGAATACTCACAGAGCAAGCTCCCCTATAAGGGCCACAAAAAATATTGCAAATTATAACTACACTGTACTAATAGTAATAATAATGAAAACATTCACGTGGTAACAGTTGAAAGACAAATAATAACAAATAAAGAGGGACAAGCACAGACAAAGGAATCAGCATTAATTTTGATCAAGCAAGTTTGTTTGTGGCTGACTACTGTTGTACACACGTTCTTATAGGCCGGAGGGGTGTTGGGAAAGGGTGATACAAACACTTTTTTAAAAGTTTTGATATTTTGTTGAAGTGGCGCAATGAACAGTCAATAATTCGGAGATGGGATGCTGGGACAAGTGTTCCTCAGTGGTTCTCGGGGCTTTGACTATACAATATAGTTATCCTAGAAATCAAAGGGTTGTTTCAAGTCAACAGGTTCCTTGACGCTGCCTGCAGACATCTGTCATGATCCAAATCAGCTGCTGTTTCAACAATGTACATTCCAGTCAAAAGGGGAAAGCCAGTGTGACAGGAATGTTGCTAAGATCTTCAAACACACCTCATGTAGACTACATGTGGAGCTGCCATCAAGCATGAACAGACCAGATGTAAAAAAGGACTTGCAAGATGCAGAGGAAAGAGCAAAGTAAGATGAGGGACATCTTTTCTGTGAAGGACATTAATTTAGACAAAAAATATCTAGATTTAGTGCAAGATTTCCTATTACTGTTCAGGTGTTTGTCATTGTTAATTTTTGGTTGTTTCAGTAGTGGTACACAAACCACGGTTGTTTACCCATGCCTGTTACCATAAAATCTGCATTCCTTTACTGTGAATTATCTTCAGAGACGATTAGACATGTGAGAAGCTGTATCAAACCCTCAAAACTGAGTGTTTTATGTCATATCCATATACCTAGAAGTCAACACATTTTGTTCATTTTAACCCACGCCTGCAACACTTCGGGCATTGATTTCCTTCCAGTCTAATCAGTAAGCAATCTTTCTTTGCAGATTAAGAAAAGCCAGAGCTTTAGAACTAAAAGATCAACCTGATGTGCCAGAAGCCTTGCAACAGAAATCTATTGCTCTTTTGCCACCACCTACCACTGACCAGACAGAAGAAACCACAACCATCAGCTCCGAACCACAGCAAGATTCAACATCTATTGTCACTGACAGTCTGTCTGCTGGATCAGAGAAATTGGGTGTTGATGTCAGTGATGATACCCGAAAATCTGCAACTGAAGGTGCTGTTACGGCAGCATCTTCAACTAGGTCAAATGCGGAATCAGCATCAGATCCTTCAGAGAGTATCTCTCCTGGTTTTGCAGCTGCAAGTCTTGTGGCAGTTTGTAGCAGTCCTCAGTTACCATCGCAGGGGACACCACTATCAAGTGTCAGTGACATAAACCAGTCTTCAGAGTCAGACAACAAGACAGTGCCAATCAACAGTGGTGATAAGCAGCAAAGTAAAAGTGATGCTTCTTCTGACGCTTTAAAAAGGGACACAGAGCGTAAGCTGCCTGAAGCTGCAGCAGAAGAAAACTTAAAAGGCGCCAGCATGTCAACAGCAGTTGGCCAGGAGGAAGTGTCATCAAAACCTCAAGAACTGGCAAAAACAGACTCTGCTGCAGACACCCAGTCAGTCATCCCTGATTCTGGAGCAGAACAACCTAAACAGACCACAGCAGAGACAAGTGTTACCAAAGACACCACTGAAGAAAACATTACACCATTTTCAACTTCTACATCACAGAATGTTAATCAAGACACTTCCCAGACTGTTGCATCACAAGATATATTGATGACTCCCTCAAAGATCATCTCACCCACCACAAAATCGGACGACACTGAGGACACTGTTCAGATTTCCTCCAAGAGTGCTTCACAAGGAACACTCAGTGCAACAAAAGTCACCTCTCCCACTTTAAGTACAGCTTCATTACATGAGTCATCCATAGACCCGGCAAAGGTTCCTTCAAAGACTGCCTCTAGCTCCTCGAAGGTCACCTCTTCTGCAATGACAAAAGTGGGGTTGGGGGAATCCTCAGAAGGTTCACCAGTGGACACTTCAAAGGATACAATGCAGAGTTCCACAAAAAGTTTCATACAAGAGGTAGCAAAGAACACTCCTCCAAGTGCCTTGACAGCCCCACCCAGTGCCCCAAAGCAAGTAATACAGGTGCCACCTTTGGTGTATTTATCACAGCCATCAACTGCCAGTTCTTCAGCACCTCAACCATCCAAGGCAAGTACTACAAAGGGTCACATGACAAGCGACACACCCCGCCCTACCCCTGTCAAACCATTTCAGCACCTACCATCAGGAATGACATCATCTAGTTCCAAGCAATTCAGTGCAATTACTTCTGTGATAAGCAAGGACACAAACAGGGAAACGAAGACGGACAACATTAAAACTAAAGACCCAGCAGATACAGGAAAACTTTAGCTGTAAATGTATTTAATTTTGATATTAACTATTGGACTTACCAGTGCTGGGCTGTAATTACAGTTTTTTTGGTATCACTTTGAGCGTTTGGGACATTTTGATGAAAGTCTAGAGTTGTTTTAAACTGATTTTGGATTAACAAAAAATGAGCTCAAAATTAGGTGCTTTTTATGTGGTAAAAGCTACAGCTGTACAAAGGAAGGCCTAGTGAAGTAGACCAAGACACACAAGCAACCCAAGACACTCAAGCAATACCATAGGCGAGAAAGGAACAGTCAAGTATTTATATATCTTGGTACCTATAATAATCATATGAAGTACTGACTGTGTGCCAGGGGATGAACTGCTGTCCAGCATTTTGGAATTGAACATCACCTTAACTACATTAACTACTTGTATTTGAAACAGACAATTCATATTTGCCACAGTGTAGAGGTCCAGAATAGGAAAAGATAGGATATTTTAAAAGGTATCTACATAATTTTAAAGTCAAACCATTACTGAATTAAAAGAGGTTGTGGTTCTTTTTCCTGTATCTCTTTTTTAATCTTCCTTTTAGGGATTCTGTCATCCTCGGAGACCCAGGGGCAGATAGTGGGGACAAGGGAAAGTCTTAACAGGCAGAAAAATATGGCACAAAAGAAAAGTGAAGAACGGCCAGAAGAGCCCCTGGGGACAATGTCTTACCAGACCAGTTCCAAACGGTCGCCGCCGTTCTGGTTTCTGATTGGTGCCAGAAAACCTGTGTTTTTCTGGCACCAATCAGAAGCCACAACGGCGGCGACCGTTTGGAACTGGTCTGGTAAGACATTGTCCCCAGGGGCTCTTCTGGCCGTTCTTTACTTTTCTTTTGTGCCATATTTTTCTGCCTGTTTAGACTTTCCCTTGTCCCCACTATCTGCCCCTGGGTCTCCGAGGATGGGATTCTGTTTGATAAGTGGTTATTTTCCGAGTAAGAAAGGAGCTTCTTGTCAATAGTTGAGAGAATGAGCAAATGAATGAATTTTCATGCATTGTCCCTGTGGTTGCAAGGATCACTTTCACCTTTTCCTCTTCAGGGCTCAAAATTGCGACTGACAGGGTCGCCAATGTGACTAACATTTTCTCCTTGGCAACTAAGAATTCTGGTTTATTCGCCACTTTGGCGACCAGTTTTCTCAGCTACGACTATATTCTCTAGTTGGTCGCCAATTTTTTAATTTCGAGCCCTGCTCTACTTGCTTCCCATCTCCAGCCCAGAAAGCTCAACAAAGTGTTAACATCCTTTTTTGTTCCTCAACAACACTCCTGGAACTAAACAGAACAATGCATTATAAATCTAACTTTAATGAGTCCTGTGACAAGGATCCTATCCTTAACCCTTTAGTCCCGAAAGTGACCAACATCAATTTTTTCCTTACAATATCAATGTATAATCAAGAGACTGGGTTGCGAGAATTGATAAAATGATCACTTAAGTGAAAATGCTTTGATCTTAAATTCTCTCAACTAGTTTTTCAAGGGAATGCATGGAGATCAGTGTAGAGAATTTTTATGTTGATATTGGGGCTTAAGGCAATCCAAGACAGTCTTGCATTTCACACTGTGAATTCTGGATTCTAAGTACTGGATTGTAAATTCCTTGTCAGTTGAACTTGGATTAGGTACAAATTCCAAAGCCCAGGACTCTGGATTCAACAAGCAGGAATTTCTCAGATTCCAGAATCAAGCTTACCTTAAATTGAGGGTGAACTGGTTGTGTCAAGAGATGCATCGAGTTAATGCCATTAAATTTTTTCTGGCATGTTTAACCCTTTTAACCCTAAGATCAAAATTTAAATTCCCATTTGTTGCTCCTATTGATTTCCTACAGAAGTAGTGGGGAGAAGTTGATAAAATATCAAGCAAATTCATCTTGTGTGATCATGTCTGTAATTCTCATGACCATGCTGTTTTACAAAGCATTGATATTACAAGGAGAAATTTGATGCTGATCACTCTTAGGGTTGAAAAGGGTTACCCGGTAACTCCTCTATAGACTGGCCAATACCCAGATAGCCTGAATTTCATCCGATTGCTTTGAGATGTTTTCTCCTCTCAGCAGAGAGTAAGGGAGGGAGGGAGTAATAACGACTCGAAGTAATAGGATGAAATTCAGGCTAGTACCCAGACAGTGACTTCACATTTCTCTCTAATGTAACTGAAAAGTTAGAGGCTCAGCAAATGTCCCACCACATATCTTCTTATCAACTGTAACTACAGAATTATCCCCTCACTTTTCCTTAAAGAAAAAGTTGAGAGAATTTGATAAGAGATCGCAGCATTTTCTCTCTTGATCATTTTCTTAATTCTTAGAACCTTCTCTCTTAACTGTGCATTGATTTTTTTGACGAAATTGATGTTAGGTCAGTCTACCATCCATTGCTGACTCAAGAGCCTGAAGTCCTCATTTTTGGCCTCATGGGTCCAAATCTCAGGGTTCAATTATAAAAACTGTGGTAGAGAATGTGCAGGACCAAAGGTCTTCCCACCCTTAGTCATTAGCAGTAGAGTGGGTTCCTGTTTGGGCCTGCTTCTGTTCTTTGTTAACATGGGTGAACTATTTTAGGGCTTAGTGGGGGAATTTTTGTTCCTTTTGGGGAAGCCCTGTTGGGTTAACTAAAGTACACGTGAAAGGCTGTGAATATTTTGCACACTACAGATGGGCTGGTGGGTGCGGTTATGGAATAGAGCTTTCTCAACCAAGTGACAGTCTGTGTACCCTGATTCCAGAGGTTTTATCTTGTTCTCACTCTTTCACAATGAAAAATTTCAAGAGAAACCTCTGGGACCAGGGTAGAGTCTAGGGTTTCCCTCTCTGGTTTTGGTAATGCACATAAAAATCTCAAATTTTAGTTCCTCCAACCAACACTCATACCCACAGTGCAAACGGCAAAACGTGGGCATGCCACTTCTGACAGATGGACTAAAAAAGACTCTTTTCAGAGAAAAATCTTGCATGGCTTAACCACTGACCATTTTAAGCCCTGAGGGGAACAAACAACTACTTTCTCCTCACAATACCTTCGCTTAGTCATAAAGGTTTAAGTGCTAGTCTTCTTTGCAGCCTTTTTAGAGTTGTCATACAATTCTCCTCCCCGTGACATTAAAAAATGACTACAAGGGAGACTCTTGCTTTAAAATTTCCTTTACATTATGTTGAACTGCTCAAGAGTTTAATTCAGGAGGATTGTTTTACATAAGTTTCATGTAAAGTTCACTTCTTGTCTTTGATGCTGAGGGAGATCTGGGTATGCTATGACCATAAATTTAACTGGTGTGATCATGCAGTTCTCCCCAAGAAATTGGTTTTCTTGACTTTAATCTTGATTGCATAAGCCCATTATCAAAAATTACAATGTACAGTACACCCATTAGTGGGAAACTCTAGAGATATAAAAATGTTCTTGAAACAATGGGAGTTCAAGGAGGCCAGAGGTGAATTCCTGTACACTCTGATAGGTCATATATTAGGAAAACATCTTTTGAGAAGTTTGAGAGAATTCATTGATCAGATGTCGAATCTAAAGAGAACCAGAAACGGGTTCTGTGGTAATAGCATATATGGCTGTCTAAATTGATTATGTAGCACAAATTGAAAGTGTCTCTAGCAAATAAAGAGAGTGGAGTGAAGAAAGCTGTATCACAAAATAGATTTGACAATCTCCTTGCTGGCATAAAATATGCATGCATGTCATAATATTGTACAGTCCTCCTTTTTGTCTATATTTCCATCTTGATCATGATTTTCTATTTCTTTTATAAGGGTCTGGAAAATTTCTTGCACACTCTGTGTAAAAAAAAGAAGAAAAAAAGAAACACAAAGTTAAGTACATCACATAACATACAGGTACCTAAATCCACAGGCAATTGACATGTACCCACTTTTTCGGTGAATTTTGCCAAGCAATTTACATGAAATGTTGACAAGTGTAACGCTGAGTCTTCATTATTATTGGGAAATATGCTTACATTATTTTGTATCTTGGTTTGTTTCTTAATGATTACCATACATTATCATACAGTGAAATAAGGCAAACTAAAACTTGAACTAATGGCAAAAAATTGTACATAATGGCTTGAAGAGTGGTCAGTAAGTGACTGCTGTCCAAATGTCAATTCTTGGGTAACAGAAACAGGATGTGTCCAAGTTCACTTACACTATTTTCCTTGGCAGATGATTCAAAGAATGCTGCTTTCCAAGAGTCAGCCAGTGATTTTCCTGTTTTGTAAGTAACAACCCTACAATGGAAGTACCAGAGTCATAAAGGTCAAATAGACTTCAACTGCCAGGATCATTATTTTAACCTTCTTAAGTCTGAGTAACCCTCTGTGTATGTACACTGTATACCATCACAAAGCATGAGGTTACTTTATAGGCTCGATTACCAGCGGCTGTTCAGGAAATGAGCCCGCATTCCTCCCCAAAAAGACAGAGAAAGGCAGAAATTGAGCCTAGAGGTTACTATCACTGGTAAGGGTTGGAGGCCCATGAGAAAGGGGGGAAGGGGGGAGGGGGGGGGGGGGTTGCAGATCAAGGCTGAGCAAGATTTTCAGATAACAAACTAAATACATAGTGATTTAGGTGCCCACAGCCCATCCTACAATTCTTTTGTTCCTTCCCAAAACCCAAAGAAAAATAAAATTGGGGTTTGAAGTGTTTACCTCTCCAAGTGTAGATCTGTCTTGTTTCCTACAAGAACCATTGGCACACTACGAAAAAAAGTCAAGTTGAGAGTGGTGTTATCGAGACTTCAGGCAAGCTAGTATTATTACTATAAAGACATTTGACTTCTACATGGGAAGCTGGAAATTGAATTTACAAAAAATGTTTTTCTACACATGACCTGTATATTGCTGATTTAATACAGGTTGCTTTGGCCACTGGTAATTGCGCTCTGGAATCTATTGTTTGGTGGTCATTCTGAAAGCAAATCATTATTATTATGCCCAAATTGCCTAAAGCCCAATTGCTGATGACTAATTGCCAAAGCGTTGAATCTTGAATTAGGTATATTCCTCAAATTATGGCTACCAAAAGTATTGCACTAGCCTTACGCTGCAAGCCTAGTAGTTTAACTAGCTACTAAAAAATTTACTTTTTTACTTAAATGAAATGTTGTGAATAGCAAAGAAGAGTGATTTTCTAAGCAAAACAAACAACTTTTTGCACATGACATTTTGTTAACTCCACTGAACAGATGTGTACATATTATAATATTGTAAGTTGCATTATTATTAATTTGTGAATACAATAAATGTATTTGTGTTTGATCTAAAAAATCTGGTAATAATATTGATTTGGAAATACTGTACATTTTACAAAAATGTTCCCTTAGTAAAATATGGAAATACTTACTAATTTTGGCCTGACATGTCCAGCAATTTTTCATGAATAACTTTTACAACTTCAAAGCTACAGAAAAAAAAAATAAAAACGTAAAAATAAGATAAAAAAGAAATAAATGGTTTATTGAGCCCTCTTGAATAATAACTGAATTTTAAATTATGGTAATATATAAATTATCTATGTAGTTTGGGGGATCATAACATAAGCCAGGCTGGCCCAGTTTAACAGGCTGCCTCAGTTGGCTGAGGTGACTCTTTTGCAGCTAGTAAATGAAGCAATGCAGCCTGCAGCTACATGTTTAAAGAGGGTACATAATTATGAGCAGCGAGCAAAACACTTTGCTGGTGCTGGTTTGGCACACTGGCCATCCTGAAGAATCACACGTCATTCCACATGGGCCAGCCTATTTAAGTTTGATTCATTTAAATTACTATTATGATGCTTGATGGCAATAACAATTTGGGCAAAGATCCTCCAACTCAAATAACCACTATACATGACTTAACAGCTGCACATGAATGCTGATGCTACCTTTTTGCAGATGTCACTGCATACACAAGTACATAACCATGTATTCCAACTGAATATGACTGAGGAAAGATTGAGTATTCATCCTGAAGATAAAAACAAAAGGTATCAAACATTACAATAATTCACATTTCATTGAGTTTTTTCACTAAGGTCTCATCCTCACAAATCCAGACATGTTTGAAACCACGTATTTTTTCAACTGGATTTGTGTGGATGGGTTCACAAACCACTCTGGGGAGCAGTTTAAAAAAGATGTCATTTCAGTGAGCAGATTCACTGGTTTTGTGTGGACGAAAAGCTCACAGATTTGTTTAAAAACATATGCAGTTTCAAGAATATCCAGATTTGTGTGGATGGGCCTAACTGTAGCCATTAATAGTTCCAATCCTCCAGTTTACTACTCAATCTTCTGACAACTCAAACCTTTTTAGATCAAAAAAGCAATAGGTTTAATCAGCAACACAACAACTTGTTGCATCACACTTTTTTGTTTACAACTATGACGTGAAACTTCCCATTTTCACGTTTTATGACAGATGTGGAACTTACAAGACAAAAATTATTTTCTTTTACCCTTTCTAAACTAAGCTACAGTCCTTTAGAAAATTTGCCGCCATTTAACAAATTCAGGGATCAGGTGAAGCCATTAAGATGAAGTTTAAAACTGCATGAACTAATTTTTCAAGTGATGGTTTTGCTACCATTGCTATCATACGTGCTTAAACTCCAAAATGTATGGTTTCTTTTGGGTGAAGTTTTCTTCCAGTTTGATTTAATGCAAAAACAAATGCCTTTGTGGTAATGACCATGAAAGAATTTATTACTGTAAATCAAAAAAGTTTAAGTTAAACAAAAGCTTGTCTGTCTTAGATTAAAATCTTGGAAAGATAATACAACCTTCACTCTACCAATAAATCATTCCATTCTTAGTATTTTAATAAAAGTAATAATAATTAAAGTATCCATTCCTCTGTACTTAATTTTATTATACATAAATTTCATTCGAACCCCCGACTACAAAATCCATGGATTAATGGATTGGGATCTCTGCCTTCTCAGAGACTAAAAGTGTGTGGCAAGAATTATGTACAAAGTACAAAGTCAGGGAGAGTTATCACAAAAATGAAATATATATTTTTTTATCATGAACCTTGTACCCAATATTTGAATATAGGGCTAGCACTAATAACAAGAGCTGAACATTGACAACTGTAAATGTACTATAAATAAATCATTGCAGAGAGCAAGCTTAAGATTCTTATTCTTGAAGATATGTCAGGGTCAAGGCCAAATTGAAACCACCACCATTGAAAAACCTCAACAGCACAATGTGCATGAAAATGTAAAAAATAACATTTTACTGATTCACCTTGACAATAACAGTTTGAAAATACAATCAGACAGCAGGAACGCACAAGTGACTTAGTTATATACAAAGCTTAATTAGCTGGAAGGACTGTACAAACACACTTACAATTTTCAATACGCTCAATCTTTATTAAGAAGCCACAAAAAATCCCTCAAAATGATGTTTACCTGTCCCGCCGTGTCTACCAGCTCCAAGACATATTCTTGACTATTGTGCTTTAGCTTCGTGGTGAATGCTTAATATAACGAAAAGAAGTAATCTTAAATTTCGTACTGACAAAAATAGAAACTCAGATCACTGCAGGGGTTTCTTTCCAGAAAATTCCCCTAAAAGGGCAATCACACGACCCGAATGAAGAAAAATTGAAATGAGCACTTACTGTTTTCAATCGTTGGATCATAAGAATCGACAAACTGTCCTTCCACGAACTGGATGGTAATCGAGGACTTCCCTGAAAATGAAAAAAGGCCACGTAAAAATTACAAGAATACGCGCTTTTCACTCCATGATTCAGCGCAAACAAGGGGTTGTATTCCAAACATCATTCTAACCAACAGAACGAAAGCCCATTATGACAATTTTCCTTGACTTTGGTGGCGCCATGCTTATTGTCTAATCGGGATATTTTCGTTTCCTTCCGAGAAAAGACGTAATATTTTCCCTACATTTTGCCTCGGAACTTTTTCCAGCGATCTAAACTGTAACACTGGAAATGGCCGGCTGATGATAATTTCCCAGAATGCAATCCAATATTTCTAAGGCGCAAGCTGCTGGTCAGCGGCTTCTACCTATCAGCATATCGATCTTTTTCGATAGTGAAATTTTTAAAATCCAGCTGGCTTAAAAAACTCTTACCATTTCTACTGTCTGTTTACAAATTCTTTGTAAAGGTATGATTTAATTGTTTATTCAATTTAAACTCTTGAGCTACCGTAGTTTAATTAGTTTTTTCACTTACTATCACCATGATCACAGTTCATTGACCCGGATTATAAATTGATTATTTAATACAGTTTTGCATAATTATCGTGCGTGCATGGCCGGCACACTTAAACGTTTTAGTCAAGTAAACTTTCTATTAATATAAACAAAGAAAGCATTAGATCGAAGACAGAGTTGTAAGAAAGGCTCAAAGATCCTATATTTTATTATCCATAGGTTTTCTTTTCACCATAGCCTCAAAACATAGTGAGACGCACATTTCCTCACACAAAACTTGAAGTTGAAGCAATCAAACACCTACTTTCTTGCTAAGAGCTGTATTGCTGGGACAATCCGGCAAGTGTAGGGATGACAGAGCTGGGGGGGAGGGGGGTGGTGCTATATTCCCAAGAGGGGAATCTTCTAAGCCTCCTCACCTCAAGAAACAAATCAATACCCCCCACCCCCCGAAAAAAAACTTGTAAAAATGTTTTGCCATTCATGGAGTGAGTAGAAAAATGAAGCAGACATTGTATATACCACACTAGAGTGATATATCAATAAGGATCATCCTTTATGATCCTAAACTGGAGAGATTATCTTGTTACTAAACTGACAAGGCAACAGTTATCCCACCTCTAAAAAGATTTTAAAGTAAAAGAGAATAAGGCAAAGCTTTCCTCATACTGCATGATGATTCAGCTGAAATGACGTGACAAGTGGTAGCCCTGTGCTGGCTAAATTAGGGCTGCTAATAGCACTACTGATAAAGTCTGGTGTCAGTTACCCTGGAATGATTTAGGTTCATACAAGTGCTGGGAGGCTGCAGTGGAAGATCTAATGGGGGGGGGACCACCCTACTTATAAGCAAGACTAGACTGAGACTCACAAACCTCAAGACCCCCCCCCCCACCCCCCTTCTCCATTGCTTACTTTTAGTTCTGGATCTGCTGCTGTGGCCTTATACCTGGAAATTCTTCTTTTCTCTTGTGGGGCCTCTACAGCAAGGGTCCTCATAGAAGATAACTTATATCCTTAAAAAAAATTAATTAATATTAGCCTATGGGCTTTTCAAATGTTCTTTTTGATAATATTGGGGTTTTCCTCTATCACTTAAAAATATTAATTTGCTGTCTACACCACTTTTCCAGGGTATGGAACTTTTAAGAGAACTCTACCATGTTTTGCTTGCTGTTGCTTTTTTTGTGAGTTCAACATTGGGTGCCAAGGATAAAGAGCTTTATTGCGGTGGTAAGTTTTACATGCCAACCATCATAAATTTCAGATTAAAGCTAACTCCGTCAGAGATCAGCACTCTCAGTACTGGGCCAAACTTTTTGTGAAGAATTGTCCATTTTTTAAGCAAATTGAGATTGGTAAAATTGCTCAAAAATGGCAGGGAAAGGACCTAAACCAGGGGTAGTTACCATTCACATGGAAAAACTGGAAAGTCTGGTTGGAAAATGGGTCACACCATCTTGTTTGGGAAGGTACAGGAAATATGGGCTGCGATTTGAGGGGATGCTTTTTTTAGTCATTTTAGTCTGTTCAGCAAATTTGTTTACACTGTGTAGTAGTTCATACTCCCTGCACATCACTTTTTATTGTTATATTTTTATGCACAAAATTGGGTTTGTGAAAATGGTAAGCACCCCAGGTGTTCATCCAATGCAATTATCATTCGTTGCAAATTTTTCTGCCTTTTCATTGGCCAACAGCCCACCACGTGACCTGCAAATAACTGCCTACAAATAATGGTCTGCTCATGCTCAATGTCATCGAACTTTGTTTCGCTGCAAATGATATTCTGCTCATGTGTAAATGAAACCACACTTTTCTCCTTCTTGTGATGGCTCTTGCGGGATAATGGCAGATCGCTTCCCTTCCCGAAGATTGTAGTCCTTAAAAAACAAACTTGGTGATCGAATGATAAAAGAATATTATTGAACTTGGTTATCGCAAAATATCGTGATTTGTCATTGTCTGGCAGATAAATTATTAGCCTCAGCCTTCGGCTTTGGCAAATAATTCATCTGCTTGCCACTGACAAATCACAATAGTTTGCTCGACCTCGTCCAATAATTGTTAATTGTCTGTGATAAGAGATTTGACTTTCAGAGGTTCATAGCTGTTAACTTCTCAGACAATTACAATAGAAGATAATGGCAGTAAGAAAACACATATCTTAAAAGGCCCCTTAAGTCACTCAGTATCTTATGTAAATAGTTCTTCTTTTGTTTCAAACACTACTGCAATGCAATTTCAAATAAGGATCATGCCACCACATACCTAAGCCACACATTGTTATGAGGAAGAGATGAAGAAGTAATTAATAACTGCCCATGATATATAATGACAAGTGTTACTCTGAAACTCACAAAACTGTGAACGCCAAAAATATTTTGGGGAATGTTATTGTGTTGCAAAATCAGCAAACAGCAAGAGTAATTAGTTTGTAGTTTCATGGCTTGCTTGCACATCCTGATCTTTGCTGAGAGTGATCATAACACAATAAGCATTTCTTTCCTAGGATATTTCAGTTTTCATGGTTTCATTAGTTTGACACAGTAAATTTCTAATGATTTTAAAGCTCCCTATTCACTGTTACTTATCAATGTTCTTAAATTTACAGTTTGTCATGTTATTGCTGATGAACTTCAATGGGAAATTAGCCAAGTTGATCCAAGGAAGATGTTAGAGGTAATAAAAACTCTGGTATTGATAGAAAAATAAAATAAATATAAAAACAATAACTTTAGTACTTTCCAATTCTGGTTTTTCAAAGATGTAGTTTGTTTTAACATCTTTTCCTTAAGAAGTAAGGGCAAGAAATGGGCTTAATATAAAAATCACTGCTTTGTGACAAATAAAAAAATAGGTTTCCAAAGCATATATTTTGAAAGTTACAAACAACAGAGAAGACTTTGAAAAACTGTCGGGCTTTGAACTGTTTTCAAAAACCCCAGTTTTCATCCATTATTTTGACCCTCTTTATCTCTTTTTGTACTTGCTGTGTTTTAATTAGACATTCATCAGTGATTGACTCAGTTAAGTGACCAGCTGCCACAGTTTGGCTTAATGTTTGCCACAATTTAGCAAAATTCTTTATTTTGTAGCACAACCCCTTTAGCCCTTCAAGTGTTTAAGTCTGAAGAGTGCCCAACATCAATTTACTCCCACCAGTATCAATACAAATTATCCAGAAAAAAAATGTTAAGAATTATTATTGAACTTATTAGCAAGGAGAAAATGTTTTGATTATTAATGAAATTCTCACAACTACTGTATCACAGTAAATTCTTTAAGGAAAGGTATGGAGATAAGTCTAGTGGAGAATTTGTGTTTCGATATTGGAGCTTAACCCTTGAAGTCCCAATAGTGACCAACAACAATTTTCTCCTAACAATATCCATACACTGTCGAGAGATAAAGTTATGAGAATTAATAAAATAATCATCATAGAGAAAATTCCATGATCTTTTATCAAATTCTCTCAACTAATTCTTAAAGGAAATGTATGGAGATCAGTTTGGAGAATTTGTATGTGGATATTGGGGCTTAAAGGGTTAAAGGGTAAATATGCACTGGACTGTTGATATGAACGTTAAATAACGGGCTCATCTTTTTACACTTTTAAGATTGAGAGTTTTAGAGTGGATCCCAAGGGAAATCAAAAAACTCGGAAGGTAAGGTAACCTTTACTTATTCACACTGAACTGCCCTTGTGCAATCTTGACCAGGCTATGATAAATTCTACCGGGAGAATTTCCTGCAGAATGAATGAAATTTTTTAAGGCGAGCATTCTGTTAACAGAAAGAATATAATTATGGAGGAGAATAAAAGAAACTTTGAAACTTGATGCAGAACAAATAGAAAATGTGTTGTGGAGTTATTGCTGCGATAATTCACTGAAACGTGCTCACAAGATCAACTAAATATGAGTGATATTGCACAAAGTAAAATGAATAACAATTTTGTCCTGCAAAATGTAAAATATCTAATTAGTGCCTAGTGCCGAGAGCAATTTCAATAATCGTAAACGAGATTTAGGGTAAAAAGTTAAGTGGCGTCGTAGATTCCAATTGAGATCTCGTCTCAGTACTCGCTTTTCTGTTTTAAAAATATTTCCACGTTCTTTAGCGTTAACGCGAAGAGGTTTTGCACAGACATGAAGCTTTCATCAGTTTCTCGCTCAAAGATGTTTTAATAGCACTGCAACACTGAGAAATCTCTCCAAGCTAGCAGAATGAATCAAAACGGAATAGGAGAAGTGACAAGAGGGATGAGAAAAACTGACAAGTACGCAAAAAAGAAAAAAAAAAAAAGGAAAAAAGTAATGCTCACTACGTATGCCAAACCCCCAAAGCGGGATTCTTGCACCAGTAAAAGAAAGCTAAGAGATTTGGAGAGTTTTGGTTGGTTGTTAAATGATGTCTAATAGGTAACGTAAGTATCAGGTCTTCCTTACGAGTTATGCAAGAAGAGAGATAAAGGGATGAAGCGGTCCTCGTTGTCTCCTTTTTTCACTTCTTTCTACCCTCCACCCCTCCCCCCAGAAACGCGTGATACTCAGGTTGTGATACAGGTTATATCACCATCATCGTTATGCTAACTCTTGTGAAACAAGCTCGTGATCTTCCAGTGATCATATTCACAACCGTTTACCGTCTAATAAGGTCAATATGAAGCACTGAAATTTGCCATCTTACTATATTTATCATCGTCAAGTACCCTATTAACATTACTGACCCCAGCCTGCAGTAAGCACTAGGATGTGAGTCGCATGTGACATACATCCTTCCATCACACTTGGAATTAGTTGAGTACTTTCGGAAAACACAAGATACTTGCGCGAGTAGACTTGTTGCTTCCCTCTCCGAGGCTTTGCTTGGGAAAGGACGCTTTTCAATTCAAGAATAAGGGGAAGACAAGAAAAAAATACGCGTGCGAATAAACAGTTATTACCGACATACTGCTCAGTTGTTTAGGAGTGTTCAAAGGGTAAAACGCTCGCCCGGTGACTGGGATTTAATACGCTCTGTCCTCTCCTGTCGGAGACTTTACTTTTGTCCCAAGCGCGTGTCCTCCTACAAACAGAGCCGACAAATTAATTTCACATGCTTGTAAGTTTCTTTTCACGTGATAATCTGCGATGACTCGTTGACGCGTGGATACATGATGCAGAAAATGATTTATTAGAATGTTATTTCCGTCTTCTGTGGTTGAAGTGTTCGCAGTTTAAAATCCAGTTGAAATTTTGAAATATATGTCTTTTAAAGTTCTGTTCTTCTCTCGCGTTCCTTGAATTGTAACTTTGGCCAAGTATTGCGTGTGTCTGGCGACCGCTGGGAAAGTCACGTCATGTCTAGACAACCTGCGTGCGTCAAAAAATAATGGTTATAGACTTAGTTTCGTCTACGATCGTGTACAGCGATAATAGACAGAAAAGCATTGCTAGCAAAGTCCAGTTTTCTCACCAATAATGATCAAAAGTAGACTCTGCTAGCAGGGAAGCTCGTGGCGTGACGGTCATTTCATCTTGTGTTGTTCGAGACAACGTTAACGCGTTAAATGTTTGCAGAAGGATAAGGTAGGGAAGATACATAAGTAATAAAATAATATTACTGAATTATCCTCTCCCCATGAGGGGCTTTTCAGTGATAAAGAAGCACAACAATACAAAAAACAATTCAAATTTCTTGTGAACATAACAAGTAAAAAATCCCAACTGGCATGGCGAAACCTCCCCTGTGGGCTAGTCAACAGAGTTTAATACGGGGCGGGGGAGGGGGTGGGGGGCTCCGCCCCAATATCCAACCCCTTACCCCTTTATGTTCCATTTTTAACAGAGAAAGGTACCCCTTTCGTATAACTTCCACTGAAAAATGGTGCTCCTTTTACATAAGAGAGGTTGACCTTTCGCGGTCCGCACAGTGGCAAAATCTGTCAAAGTAAGGCGATACCTGACAAAATTGATCAATGTTATCATTTATTTCCAATCATTTCTCTACGTTTTATTTTTCGCCCTAATGGCTTTACAGCTTGGTAAATATAAGGACAAGATGGCGTTCTCTTGCTGAAACACTTGTTGTCTTTGCAAGACATTCTTGTCGGGTGTTAATAATGAGAATTTCTTGTGCGCGGATTATGCTTCGGTTCCTTTCTTGGGGAGAGCCCATGCTTAAGTGAATCTTTTCGCTGAAAAACACGGTGCTTTTTTCCCGCCAGGTGTGGATGGGTTTCCTTCGCAGTAGTATCCCCCAAGCCTTGAAGTGGATTCATCTGGGCAGTTTTCACACTTACTGCTAACGAGTGACGCGCGATAGGTGTTGCCTTGGCAACAAACATCATCGGGCGGTGATGTTGGGACGGACGATCTTGAACCTGCCAGAGACTTGCGAGGAAGTATCCGAAGCGTTACCTTGGCAATGAGGTAAAGGTCTGTCGTAGAGTTGGACGCTTTCCATTCAACTTGCTGCCCTCCAGACTGGACATTTAACGTGACCCTCCATCTCGACAATGTTGTAGGAAGAAGGCTATCACCAGCCACGTTGGAGGTTGTGTGACAAATCTTAGGAAGATTGTTGCAGAGACTGTACGGATTAGGAATTTCGTTGGAGCAAGTTGAACTTCGATAACCTTCTTGGTATACTGTAACATACGATGTTTGTCGCTCTGGTAACTTGTACAGCACCGAGTTATTTGTGTCTGCGGAGATGAAGCTCCCCGTTTCGGCTGTGAGTACTATACGGGTTGATGTCTTCACTTTCTCGGAACCCGTCTTGTATTCTTTGTTTGGCAAAAATAGCTGGAAGTTCTCCACATATGCAGCGTGCGACTCACCAATCAAACTTCAGTCAAACTGATACAGCCAGGTCAGATTTTGAGGTAGTCTGAACGAGACAGTCTTATTTGTTGCTAACGTGTAAACGTTAATGAAACCCAGATCCCCGCTGTATTGAGGCCTTGATGGAATGTGAACTGTCCGTTCGATGGAGATGTAGTGTCGATGATCTGTAAACGCCACAAGATTGTCCAAGTCACTATTGGTGAAGAGCCCACTTTCTGGCGAACAAGGCCCAACTGTTTGTCCCTCGTTTCTGTACTCGAGTTTGTCGCAGTATAAAAAGGCTTGAGACTGAATAAAAAGCTGTGTCATCAAAAATCCGCCTAAAAGTTGATGGGCCTTAAACATATCGTTCGTTTGCCGTCCAATGGAAGCAGCTAACTTCTTCGCTACATTACCACGTACGACTCTGGATAGGCTGTCCACTAACTCAAATTGAAATTCAAAAATATTCTCCCTCAGGGCGTCAAACTCGGCAATTGTCCTCTCCAACTTTTCACACAATAGAAACCCATTAGCAACAGCCTTTCCTGTGGACCCTGCGATTCCTTGTACCCCTTGTAACAGATCGCAGGTCGAATCTTTGAAAGCTCCCCACAAAGCTATGTTACCCCTCATCCGTTGCCTGTCTACTTTTGGCTGGTAATTAGAGTAGTTTTCGATAAACTCCTCTGCATCATCACCAATGGTGTCTGCCGAGTTACTCTTTATTTTGTTGACCAGTGTCTTCAATGATGCCAGTTGCTTTCGGTTGCTTTGCAGGTCAGTTCCAATCTCTTCTGTATCGGTAGCGAGCTCACCCAATCTTACAACGAGTGTAATTCCGTGTGCTAATTTTGCTGCTGTATCTGCAACGACCTTGGCCTGGTCTCGTATTCCCAGAGTATCAACGCCGGTGAATATCACTGAAATGGGATTTGACTCCTCTAATATCTTCGTAACGAGAGCTACCGTCTCCTCGACCAACTGAATCGACAAAAGGCTTGTCATCGCAATCATTGCCGCTTTAACGTGGTCTTTTACCTTGTTTTGCAGCGCAGTGTATCTGCTATTAAAATCGTCAAGTTTGCCTCCTATAAACTCCACGTCAGCGTTTGCTATGCCTTAATCAAACTTCGCGATGCCTTGGAAGTAAGAAGAAATACCTTTGACATGTGCTTCCATGTTTTTGTTTAGCTGATCAATGGCGCTCAACACCTGGGTATGTTTAATAGCTTCCTGTTTCAGCTGAATTATTCTGGCGTGGTCCACATTCTCATGCAAAGTAAGATCCCTGGTATTTCCTCTTTGAAGTCGTTCATTCTTAAGTTTCTTTAGTAAAAGGTAACTTGAATAAAACTCCATAACTTCACAACCCGCTGGAGCTTTTATTTCTCGACAAGCATAACCGGCCCTGGAAAAATTCTCCTCGTTCTCACTGATAATCTTCATGGCTTCTCCGATTTGGTGTAAGCTCTTCTCGCAAGGGCATCTTTGTAAAAGTGATCAAATGGTTTCAATGGGAGCATGCTCAGAAAGTTTTTTACCATATCCACCTGTTTAGCAATGCTGTCTAGCGTTTCCTGCATGTCACATCCATTCCCTCCAGAGCATCTGTCCGGACAAAATTTGTCCACGATTGCAAAGATTATTTTATACCAAATCACTCCGATCATCAGAGGAATGGCCTTCTCTACGTCACATTTGTTGTTTTCTCCGCACGCATTGGTGGAACTTGAATAAAAGGAAATGGAGCAGTTCGAAAGGGTCGGGCAAACGTTCTTGACTATTAATGCTGGGACATTTCGGGGTGGTAGTTTGGCGCACTCTCTTTTTAAGGGTAAAACATACCCGCTTTTTTCAAGCAACGGATCTTTCTGGGTAACCGGATAGACATCATCTATGAGGTTTCCAACCAGGCGTACAAAATCAGAGTTGAATTTTCTTTTAAGACTTGGGCTATCCAGGAAATTTTGTTTTATTCGGTCTGGTAAATTGTTGTATTTCATACTGTGAAGTGTATCATGAATATACATTGCATGTGTATTGGTCGCTTCTTCGTGCAGTTTACTTCTGATTAGAAACTGCTCGAGCACTGGAATCATCTTGGTGAATAGCAGCATGTAGCACTGCCACTTTCCCATTTCACGAGGACACCCATCGCCTCTACTATCCATTCCCCATCGAAGTTCTGAGTAATCAGGAGTGATTTTTATTAGACTTCTCAACAAATTGCCTGTGTCAGATAACCATGGGTCCTTACCATCGACAGGATGGAAAATCGTTACCACAGCTAAAATTATAGCGAATACTACGGTGACTGGTAACCGCATTTTGTTTCTGGATCTGTTTGATTCTTCCAGTCCAGTCTTGTTTCCAAGTGCAATAATGATGTATCTACCTGAGTAAATACTCTTATCGATGGAATATGTCATTTATTTACTCATCATGAAATAATTTCGTCAATGTATGAAAACGGGTATCTGATGGTTTACTTTTCCTTTTTGGTCGTCTTTTTCGAAGCGTAAAAAGTTAAGTACAAATGGGCTGTCCAACCATTGTTGGTAGGCTGATTTCTGTTTTGTGGTGTTACTATTGTTCAGTGTCTTTTCAATCTTTTTTTTAGTATTAAGTTATTTGGTGATCTCATCCGCCTGAAAAACCAAGAAACTATATCGGAGAAATAAAGATGCTGTTGTTATCAAATAGTTTAGTCTTTTACTTTAATTTCTAGATCCTTTTTCTCAAACTTCTTGGACTCTCTTATAATAGAATCTGTTTTGAAAGTACAACAAAAGAAATTTACCAGTATGTGTTAAATTAACTTGATGACAAAATTGCAACGTTTTGTAAAGTTAACCGCCCCAAAAGCTTTGTCTTGCAACTTACGAAGAAAAGCAACGTCCATGCGCGGGACTGCATACTGAAATTTAATTAGTGTTCTTTGCATTCCGATATTTTGAAATGACAACTATTTTATGTAAGTTTATTTCTATTTTCATTTAAATTTTTATTGAAACTTCCGAAGGGTTAAGAAGTTGTGGTATAAATAATTGATACAAGATAAAGGACCTTTCAAGTGGGATACCAAAATTGCTTTAACTATCTTAAAGCAAATGTCAAAGCTTAACCAGGCAGATCAAAGCAGAAACACAATTACTCATTACAGTTTGTTGCTAATTTCAATTTTTTGGTGTAGGAAGCTGCCACGTTGAAAACCGGGCGAGGGATTTTACGATCGGACGACACGACGACATCGAAAGCGTAAAAAAGACAGTAGGTTTCGTAGGCAAAGCAAAAACTTTGCACGTGCATCGCACTTTTTTGTACATTTATTTGCCCTTTTTGTACGAATACGACGTAAAATTGCCTAATTTTACGTTTTATAAAGAACGTAAGCAAGCGACGACGAAATTTTATTTCTCTTTCTGAACTTGGATGTCTAGTGTCTCTAGGGATTCAAATCCAACAGAGTTCGCCTACATTCGACAAAGTAAGTGGAAAGAAATAATCGCGATAAAAACTGAAAGAACGCAAATTCACTTTTTAAGCGACGTTTTCGTTACTATCGCGTCCTTGGATAAGCTCCCTAATAAAAAGGTGGTCTGTGGTCACCCCTTGACACAGTTATGACAACGTAATTTGTAATTTTAACTTTTAAATGTGTGGGTGAAATCCTGTGATGTTAACATTTAAATGAAACCTTATTTGTAGAACTTTGGCACGGTACAATTCATTTCTTATGATTTTACACAAAGAAATTTAATTTTTCTGTGACTGTTTTACATGGGCTACACTAATTAGGAGTGAAGGTTTTAAGGGTTCTCTGAACCTCTCTATGGGTAGCCTTTACAGTTACACAGACGTTGTTTTTTTTTACTTTCCCCCCACCTCCCGCAGTTTTTATTTTCATACGCGCGCACGACAATCTCTAAAGAGGAAATAGAGGGTCTGGGAACAGGCTTTTCTATGGGTTCCTGTGGTCTTCGCTTTAGTGAAGCGGCCGGTTTTTCATCCAATCTACGGTTTTTGAACACATTCTCGCTTGCATATGAAAAATTGCCTTGTGCTGTAGCGCCATAGCGAGCTCTTTTTGGTAGGTTTCTTTTCTGTCATCACACGTCTAACCTTGTCTGTCAACCGTGATCAGAATGTCAATGCGATCATCGCTCTAATATCTAGGATCGTCGTTTCATCAATAGGGAACGTTGCAACTTTGAATTTGTCAGCAGTATCCTAGCCTGCGTGGCAGGCGTTCGAAAGGGAAGGGAACCACACGCTCTCGCGCGCGCCCAAATTCCCACTTCCCCTTTCAACACCGGCCACGCAGGCTAGCAGTACCCATACAAAGCATTTTCTCTCAGTATGGCCACTTGCTGGAATCTATTCACGGTCTGCGCATTTTACTTTGGACCCGCTTATTAAAAGCCGGCCGGTGTTCTTTGAGTTGTACATTTTTAACCATGTCACTACCTCACTTTTTATATTAGTTTGGTTTTGCATATTTCGGATATACACTTTTAGTGAAAATGCCCCAGAAATGAGGTTATTTCTTCAGTCTTGGTTACTTAACGAATTTTGGTTAAGAACAGGGCTGAGTTTCAGTGCGTTCCAAAAATATCCATCATTTCAAAGATTCTTCCTTGGAAGCTATTGGTCACCTGTCTCACCTGTCCAAACTATGGCTCCTTTGTAAATTCTCAGACACGCATGAACTTCGAGATATTTAAGTGGGATAATTTTATGTTTCAAGAAAATATAAGCAACTGTTATTGATTTGATTGGCGCATTTCAAAGAGGAAAAAGCTAGTATCATGATAAACAAAAAAGACGATAAATTTGTTGGGAAAGTGAACTATTTCTTTTAGGAGCAATTTCGGTATCAAAATGCAAGTTTGTTTTTACCGGGGTGAGTTACTTTGTAGTTATTGTTTGAGCAGTTGCCCTTCCGCTTCGCCACCTTTGTAGACAAATTTTAAGACTGAAAAACGTAAGGTTATAGTGGATAATATTTCATGGACTTTTTATTGTTATTCTTTTGATCTCTCATGGAATTCAAACGTATGAGTGATTGTCTTCGTTTGACGATTACTTCAAATCCCTGTTGGAGGGGAAATAGGTTGACCACGGACTTGATGCGCCCTTAATTTTTGTAGTTGTAAAATATTTTAAAGTAATAAGCATTTAACTACTGGTCTTTTTCTCAAAACACTTTGCAATGCAAGATTTGTTTATAGGCACTGTGTGAGAGGGTAGGTCGTAAAGACAAAATACAGTACTTCTTTAGATATGTGAATGCTAGTGTCATTTCCATAATACATATTCTTTTAAGCTACATTGTACTGCTGTACTGTTTCACTCACCCAGTAGGTTAGCGTCTTTTTCCTTTTAATTTAGTTTCTTTCTTTCTCTTTTCTTTCTTTTATTAATATTTTTTTTTTATTCTCTGCCCACTGTGAAAGTAGAAAAAAAGTTTTAATAGTTAAAAGAACATGTATTTGTAATTTTTTTTGTAATTGTTTTTGTTTTTTAAGCAAATAAAATTTAAAAAAATGGATTAACTATTAACCGAAAAACCTGTGATAACCTGCAAAACTTGAAATCCTGCTGTTGTATTCGGTAGCCGATCTCTCTTGGGAAAGCTTGCCCAGAGTTGGCATTCATTCGACGTAAATAAAAGCTTGTGTTTTAAGCACATGCCTAGAGACAGTGCATGTTACTCTTAAACACACTGTATACTACAAAAAACCTTCGATGTAATAAAACTCTTCTCATCGATCAAATTTTCTCATTGCCATGGCACTCGCAAGTAATGTTAGTTCCATTTTATTTTTAGACTTGACCAGGTCTGTAAGTCTCCGGCTTTTCTAAGCTGATAGCGTTTTGCTCTGTTTCAGATTCAGTATGCCAGATCAGAGACCCACCTCATAGAACAACTGGATAGTATGTGCGAAAAAATGAACAATTACGCGGAGTCATCTGACCCTGCCACTGGCAAGAAGTCTTACATCAGAACATCATCGCGCAATGGGGAGGCTGTAACTTTAAGTAATGTGGCCATTAGTGGAGATATAGCAAAAAAGCTCAAACATGCAGTAAGTAACTTTTATGCGTATTAAGTATAACTGAAATCTCAATGGTAGTAATATTATGCACTAATCCTGTTGACTTCTTTTTTAGTTGTTGTTTGACATTAGTTGGTAGTATCTGTTTCAAGGGTCAGGTGAAATCACTCTAAAGGAGATGAATTCTCTTGCCCAACGTTTCTGGGACTCTGCCCTCCTACTCCTCTCCTAAGCCAACATTAACACTTACTTCTCACTTAGGGCAAAATGATGGTCAGGGGAGGGGTAGGTGGTCAGTTTCCCAGACACGTATAACTATCCCAAGAAAGAATGTAAAGCCTAACAAACCCAATCTGCCACGAGCCACCACTACATAATTACTTGGTTTTATATTTGTGTTACCTTCTCTTATTGCTTGTTACTAAAAAAGCACATTTTTCTTTAGTGTGAGAGTATAATTGAAGATTATGATGACGACATTATTGCAACTTTCAAAAAAGAACGTAAAGATCCCAAGAAATACATGTGTAGGACAACAACTGGTAAGAAATGTATTCCCCTGCTGTGTCATGTGATGTCATTTGAGTTCCCGTTTATATTGAAAAAAAAAATGTTCTAGGTAGAAGGATCACTCGATCCCCTACCCAAGCTACCCTGGTGGAGCCATCTTTTCATACATTTATTTACAAAACGTGGCGAACCGTTAACATAGAAACAAAACGTTGGCTCGACTAGAAGGGTTACCTGCGTAGCGGGGTCACCCTTTTGTGATGGTAGGATCACCTTCCTAACCGGGCCTACTTTTCTCCATATAAACATTTAGCTCGTCCAGCCGGGTCAACTCAGTCAAAGCGAGTTAAACAGAGCATGCGCGAACGCTGTTAGCTCGGGCAAAAGGGTCAACATTTTCAAGTCTCATGCTAACGCTGGCGTAAGGTGACTCAGCTGGGAGGGCGACCCGATAAACCCTCAATTTAGGTTTCTGAGAAACTGCCCACCTACCCCTCCCCTAAGCTAACATTAACACTTACTTCTCACTTTGGGCAAAATGATGGCTTAGGGGAGGAGTAGGTAGGCAGTTTTCCAGAAACCTAAATTGATGAAGACCAAAAATCCCATCTGAATGCGTATGCAATAGGCCTGTTTTTCGAGGTTACCCCTAGCCTCATTTTCAAATGAAAAACAAAACTTTGCCTTGAATTTTCTTTTTAGTGTCGTACAAATAAAACTTGTTTTTTCTCAAAAGCATTTGCAGTTAGTTCCGTTTTAAAAGTGAGGGTTTTTGGAACTTTTTCAGTTACCCGAAAAGAGGCAAATGCTATTATTGTTGTTTGTTTTGATGAACAAATGATTTCTTTTGTGCGCTTGTTTGTTTCATTTTTAGGTTTGTGCATTGATGACGATGATGATGAGTTCACAGAATCTGATTACGACGACGATAATGATGACGGTAACAACGAGGATGATGCAACAGATCACGATGAACTTTGACCTTAATTTTCTTAATGAAAATCAGTTTGGGAAATAGACCTCTTTATCTTGCAATGAAGTCCCCAGTGGAATTGGACTTTGACCCTTTGTCGTTTCTTAAATTATTGCACGTGAATACGAGGAAATTTGAAAGAAACAGTTCTCAGGAGTATTATCACAAAACCAGCTTTGGGAAAACAAATCGTACAAGCTGAAGAGGTCTATTACGCAGCAATTTGCGTGGATCCATTCAGATTCTTTTTTATTATTCTATCTCGAAAGCAAGTATTAATTAACCGGAAGTGTCTTTGCAATGATAAAACATCAATCGTTGTCGGTATTGTAAATGCAATCTAACTTACAATATTTTTCTTTCTCGTAAATTTACACCATAAAGATATGCAGCAGAGCTCCGCATTGGTCGGAGGTGTACGAGGGCAGAGAGGTACACAATCTGGCATTTACCAGTCTCTGAGAAATGCAGTTTTAGTCTGCTTTTTGATAACAGTAAACACCCGCCAGTAAAAACCTACCTCTTCAATCCGGCAATATACAGTAGGTTCTTATTTTGGGGGGGGGGGGGGGACCTTAATTCCAACTAAGGCTCAATAGGTTCTTAATTAGGTTGTTAACAAGAAAAAAAAAAAAATTTTTTTTTTATTCTGGGAAGGAGGTACACATACAGGTATTTACGCAGCTACCAGAAATGGCTTTTGAGTTGGTTTTTTATGACATGAACTCCCCCGCCAGTAAAAACCTACCGTTGCAATCCGGCAATGAAATGTAGGTTTTTATTTTGGGGGGGGGGGGTACTTAATTGCAACTTAGGCTCAATAGGTTCTTAATTAGGTTGATTACCAGAAAAATAAATAAACTTTTTATTTAATCACAACTGTATTATTATAATCCTAGACCTAACACAAACTGATCACCGAATTTATATACAGTTTCGCACAGTCGTTCTTGTTGTACTTAAATTTACAACTCAAAGTTACACTCCTTTGTTAAATTGTTTGTCATAATTCAACCCACATTTAAGAACCCGTTTGATCTTGCTTGGCTACACAGATTCTTGTATTTTGGGGTATTAAAGCGGCAAATTTCTACCAGGTGCTTCTTAAACCACGGGTTCTTATTAGCGGGTGTTTATTGTAGCATAGATTATTTAATAGTCAATTGAATAAAATGTCTTCGACGCTTTTCTTTGATGTTTTTATATAGAAAGAAAGAACCTCACAAAAGATTAATTTCGGTACACTAAAATTCATTCAAAGATTAGAGGAATATAACAAAATTTATCATCTTGAGGCTCAGCAAGGAATAATAAAATTTTTAACCAAAACCATGGACTAACCCCTTTGGAAAAATGCAAATTTTGCGACTTTTTTTTAATCGATGTTTTCATAGTCTAGACAGGCTAGTATTCTTCCTAGAACGTCACCAAACACTTTTTCTCAGCCCATTTTCCCGAAGAGAAAAAAAATGAAGAAATTTGAAATTTTAACCAAAACCATGGACTAACCACTTTAGAAAAATGCAAATAATGCCACGTTTTTTAATCGATTTTTTCATAGTCTAGAAAGGCTAGTTTTTTTCCTAGAACGTCACCAAACACTTTTTCTCAGCCTATTTTGTTCAAAAAGAAAGGATGAAGAAATTTGAAATTTTTAACCAAAACCATAGACTAAACCCTTTGGAAAAATGCAAATATTGCGACGTTTTTTAATCAATCTTTTCATAGTCTAGAAAGCCTACTTCTTTTCCTAGAACGTCACCACAGTCATTTTCCCGGCCTATTTTAGCCAAAAACAAGAAGGATGAAAAAATTTAAACATTTTTGACTAAAACCATGGACTAACCCCTTTAGAAAAATGCAAGTTTTGCGCCTACGTTTAATCGATGTTTTCATAGTCTAGAGAGGCTAGAATCCTCCTAGAACGTCACCAAACACTTTTACTCAGCCTAGGTTGCCCAAAAAGAAAGGATGAAGAAATTTGAAATTTTTGACCCAAACCATAGACTGACCTCTCTGAAAAAATACAAATTTTTCGACTTTTTTAAATCGATGTTTTCATAGTCTACACAGGCTAGTTTTCTTTCTAGAACGTCATCAAAAACTTTTTCTTAGCCTATTTTGGCAATAAAGAAAGAAGGAAGAAATTTGAAATTTTCGACCAAAACCATGGACTAACTTGTAAGAAAAAATGTATTACGACTTTTAGTAATCGACGTTTTCATAGTCTACAAAGGCTAGTTTTCTTTCTAGAACGTCACCAAACACTTTTTCTCAGCCCACTTCTCCCAAAAAGTAAGGATAAAGAAATTTGATATTTTTGAAGAAAACCATCAACTAACCCCTTTGGAAAAATGCAAATTTTGCGACGTATTTTAATCGATGTTTTCATACGCTAGAAAGACTAGCTGTTTTCCTAGAACATCACCACAGACATTTTCCCGGGCTATTGTTGCCAAAAAGAAAGGATGAAGAAATTTGAAATTTTTGACCAAACCCATGGAGGTTTTTAAATCGATGTTTTCATAGTCTATACAAGCTAGTTTTCTTTTTAGAACGTCATCAAAAACTTTTTCTTACCCTATTTTGGCAATAAAGAAAGGAGGAAGAAATTTGAAATTTTGGACCAAATCCATGGACTAACCTCTAAGAAAAAATACAAATTTTGCGACTTTTTTAAATCGATGTTTTCATAGTCTACACAGGTTAGTTTCTATCCTAGAACGTCTTTAAACACTTTTTCTCAGCCTATTTTGGCCATAAAGAAAGGATGAAGAAATTTAAAATTTTTGGCCAAAACCATAGACTAACCCCTTCGGAAAAATGCAAATTTTGCGACTTTTTGAAATCGATGTTGTCATGGTCTAGAAAGCCTAGTTTTCTTCTTGAACTTCAAGAAACATTCAGTTTACCTGACTTTGCCTAAAAAGAAAGGATGAAGAAACCATGATCCCCTTAGCCTAATCATAACAGTTCTCGCGCCTAATCTCTGCTTTATCATATACCAAACCGTAACCTAACCGTTACGTAATCTCTGCCGCCAAGTCGTCCAATCCAATCACTGGGTATAATTATACTTTGTGTCTGCCTTATCACACCTAAACGTTTTCTAATGGTACCTAATTTCTTCTTGAAACATAAACGAGCAGTTTAATATTTGTGTGATGGCAATAGTATGCCGAACGTTAGTAACTGATTATTAATTTTACTTCAATTTATGACTCTTGATTAAGCATAATTATCATAATTACATAGGTGTTTTTAATTATAATGAAATCGGTGAGTTAGAACATTGCAGTATTAGGGACCTTAAGGTGGCTCGACTGGATTTTTTGGGGTTGATACCTCCCAAGTTTGAGGACGCTCGCTTGTAAACACAAAATCTGGGGGGGAAAATTGGCTATTTTTTGAGGCCCTATTTAAAAGTCTTCCCTGTTTTCAATGTTCTTAAAACTTGCAGGGAATATTTCTTGACGATTGATCTCGGGATTGTCGAATTTATAAAAAAATTTATCAAGCAGTTTTTGGAAAAATGCGAAATTTTTAGGCATGGACCAAATTATCTCCAAAAACTGTATCAAAAGCATCTGAATGCATGCGCAAGTTAATAAAATCCTTCTTACTCGCCCTCGCCCAGAGCAATTCCCCTCTTTTTTTGTATGCAGTTTTCAATGGAATCAAACCTGTATGAAATGAAGCCGCGTTCCCGAAGCTTATCATTTTCTTAAAATATTAGCGAATTGTGCGGCTAGCATGCTATTTCACTGTTTTTATGATTCTTAAAACTGCATTTCAGAATATTTCGAAAACGCTCTCATAGAATTTCTTCAAACTTTGCCATAATGGAGGTAATTATGGCAGGTACATACTCCCTTGAGCGATTTCTTCAAAAAACTCCTGGTACAGAGAAACACAACGATAAATGAAAAAAGTAATGGCGTCATTACGTTGCCATGGCGACTCCGATTGCAATAAAACCCAGATCATAAGAAATTTTCATCTTTATATAATACAGTTGTGGTAACCTTTTTTCCATATCTTTACTCATGCCGACGTAGTTAATGCTCAAACTTGGGAGGTATCCCTCTCAAAAAAATCCAGTCGAGCCACCTTAAGATACCCTGGACGCGGCGGTAAAGAGAACGTGGGTTTGCCGGAGAAAGCCTGGAGCGAGGACGCCGCCACATTGACAGGGAAAACAAATTAAGGTTGAGCAGGTTGCGTTGAGCGCTTGCCCGACGAGAGAAGATAAAGTAATGCTTTTGTGTTTAAATTCCACGGCGTCTTTTAGAAAAATTCGTTAAATCTTGCTTGATTGATATCTTATATTGATCTTTATTGAGAGAAAAATATGTGCTGCCGGCTATGACCCCAGTTTCTCTAAAATCCCCCGAATTTCTTCGAGGGAATCGGAGTTCGGGTTATCAGCTATCTGTTCCCAGACCTTTCCCCTTTACGTTGTTCTTGCTTTTAAAACAACGTGGTTCTGTTATGAGAACTTCCCGTAATAAGGCGCTTTTGATCTTCAGACCACTCCAGCGCTAAACTGAAAGTGAACAAAATAAATGAACCATGGCGTCTTGTTCAAGACCTCAATTTTCACCGACATGTTCAAGTTTATCAAAAGCCTAGATATTTGTTTTCCAACAATTTTTATTCTTCTCGTCTCTTAAATTTTTCAAATACTACCCTACAGCGAGAACGTTACGCCCTTAAAAATAAGCAGTTAGAGTGTTACATTTGTGTCGAAAGACTCTGCGCTTTCATTCTCAGTTGCCGCCAAAACACTGAACCCAAATGGCTTGATAGCAAAAAAAATAAGAGTCAATCTCGAGAGAACACCACACTAAAAACACTTAAAAGTGTCTCTTGAAGTGAAACGGATCGAATGATCCTGTACGAAAAGCAATTTCTGCACTCAATAAAAGAAAACCAACTCACCGTTTCACGAGGCGGCCAAACACCTAGGGCGGGATCCATTCAACCAAAATTCCAACCGGTCCGACCGGGAAAAGAGGACCACCTCAAAAGGTGGACCCGTTTTTTCGAAACTTTTCCGGTTGGACCAAACCGATCCATTGAGTTTTGGACCGAAATTTCCGGTAAGTTCGGTTGAATGGATCGCACCCCTAGTTCCACCGTCGCGACTTCAGGTCGACGTTGTGGCATTATGCTAATTATTCCAAGAATTGAACATTTCACTTCCGGTTGCCGTCCTCCTCGGCCGTGTCCAGAGTATCTTAAGGTCCCTATTGTGCCTGGAGTGGAGGCGGCCTACCTTAATCCCTCGTTCTCGGCTCGGTCAATCCTGGACTCTACTGTGTGCTTATTGGCCATACTTCA